CATCGACCCATCCCTCCCAGCCCCACAACGACGACAACTTCGTGACCTTCTCGCCGAGTTCACTGAGTGCTTCTCCACTTCGTCGAAAGTGCGCCAAACGACGGTTGCGAAACATCAGATAATTACTGATGACGACGCACTCCCTGTGCATCGGCCGCCGTACAGGGTCTCCGTGAAAGAAAGGGAAGCCATCCAGCAGCAGGTACAAGAAATGCTTGACGACGACATTATCCAGCCCTCAAGCAGTCCGTGGGCTTCACCGGTAGTCCTGGTGAAAAAGAAAGACGGGACTCTTCGGTTCTGCGTGGACTATCGCCGACTGAACGCCGTAACAAAAAGGACGTCTACCCACTGCCACGCATCGACGACACCCTGGACCGACTACGCCACGCCCGATACTTTTCGTCGATGGACTTGAAGAGCGGGTACTGCAGATTGAGGTCGACGAACGAGATCGTGAGAAGACGGCCTTCGTCACGCCGGACGGACTGTATGAGTTTAAAGTAATGCCATTCGGGCTGTGCACAGCCCCGGCAACCTTCCAGCGCGTTATGGACACCGTCCTTGCCGGCTTGAAATGGCAAAGCTGTCTCGTCTACCTCGACGATGTTGTGGTCTTCGCAAGCGAATTCGACGAGCACCTGAGACGACTGCGAGCCGTTCTACAGGCCTTCAAAGCTGCTGGGCTGACCCTCAAGCCTTCCAAGTGTCGGTTCGCCTATGGTGAGCTCAAATTCTTGGGCCACGTCGTGAGTGCTCAGGGTGTAAGCCCTGATCCCGCCAAGACGTCCGCTGTCGCCGAGTTCCCGAAGCCATCGGACAAGAAGACCGTTCGAAGATTCCTTGGGCTGTGCGCCTATTACAGACGTTTCGTTCGTGATTTTGCGCAAATTTCTGCACCGCTGACGCATCTGACGAAAGACGACGTGCAGTTCCAGTGGGGAGAGGAGCAAGAGCAAGCGTTCGACGAACTCAAGCGAAGGCTCCAGTCGCCCCCTATCCTCGGACATTTCGACCAGTCGGCGGAGACTGAAATCCACACGGACGCCAGCAATACCGGTCTCGGTGCGGTACTCGTTCAGCGACAAGAAGGGGCAGAGAGAGTAATCGCTTACGCAAGCCGGGCGCTGTCTAAGGCAGAACAAAATTATTCAACGACCGACAAAGAATGTCTTGCTGTCGTCTGGGCGATAACCAAGTTCCGCCCGTACTTGTACGGGATCCCGTTTCGCGTGGTCACAGACCACCACGCCCTCTGCTGGCTCGCAAACCTCAAGGATCCGTCCGGACGCCTCGCCCGCTGGAGCCTTCGACTGCAGGAATTCGACGTAACCATTGTGCATAAGTCCGGCCGTAAGCATAATGACGCTGACTGTTTGTCTAGGGCTCCAGTCGAACCTCCAATCTCCGGCGCGGACGACGATGACGACGCCCGTTTTCTAGGCGCAGTTGACGCTACCGACATGAGGGCACTGCAACGCGACGACGCGGAACTTAGCTCCGTGATCGACAGCCTCGAAGGTCGAGGAGGCTCTGTCCCACGGGTCTTTTCTCGGGACCTACCGAGCTTTGTCCTGCGGCGAGGCGTGCTCTTCAGAAAGAATTTCGGAACCAGCGAAACCCCCTGGCTACTGGTTGTCCCCGCCAGCCTCCGAGAAGAAATTTTTCAAGCGTGCCACGACGACCCAACGGCCGGACATCTCGGCTACAGCAGGACCCTTGCCCGGATTCGTGACAAGTACTACTGGCCAAAGCTTCCGAAGACCGTCCACCTCTACACACGATCGTGCCATGAGTGCCAGCGACGCAAGAAACCACCGTCAAAGCCAGCAGGTCTCCTTCAGCCGATTACCCCGCCAACCAAGCCCTTCCAGCAAATTGGAATGGATTTGCTGGGTCCTTTTCCACCGTCGACGATGGGGAACCGCTGGATAATCGTCGCCACCGATTATCTCACTCGTTACGCCGAGACGAAAGCCCTTTCCTCGGGGACTGCTGTCGAAGTCGCCAAGTTCTTCATCGAGTCCATCGTCCTCCGCCATGGCGCCCCCGAAGTACTGATCACAGACCGAGGGTCATCGTTTATGGCACAGTTGACCCAAGAGATCCTGCGTCTAAGCCACACGGAACACCGTCGAACAACGGCATACCATCCGCAGACCAACGGGTTGACGGAGCGGCTCAACAAAACAATCGCCGACATGGTCTCTATGTACGTCGACGTGGAGCACAAGACCTGGGACGAAGTGCTGCCCTACGTCACGTTCGCCTACAACACAGCAGTGCAAGAGACCACAGGAGTGACGCCCTTCCAGCTGGTGTATGGCCGGGCGGTGACGACTATGCTAGACTCTATGTTGCCGCACGAGTCAGTCAACGACGGGAGCGATGACGCCCAGGTGGTTGCTCAACGGGCAGAAGAGGTCCGCCAGCTAGTCAGACTACGAATTCAAGACCAGCAACATGTCGACGCTCGCCGGTATAATCTTCGCCGCCGCGACGTCCACTTCCAGCCCGGAGACAGAGTTTGGGTGTGGACGCCGATTCGTCGTCGCGGTCTCAGCGAAAAACTCCTGAAGCGCTACTTTGGGCCCTACAAGATCATCCGACGCCTCGGCGATCTGAACTACGAAGTTCTACCCGACGGAACGCGCCCATCTGCAAGACGTCAGCCGCGACCCGAGGTGGTGCATGTCGTCCGGCTGAAGCCGTATTACGAACGATAGCACTCTCCACTGTCGTAGACGAGTGAACTGTGGACTGTGAACTCCGGCTAGCAATTCTGCTGTCCTTTTGTTTTTTGTTTTCCGTTTTTGTGCTGCATCGGGACGATGCACTTTAAAGGGGGGGATAATGCCGCGCCCAGGGCTGAGAAAGCAACGCTCGGTCACGGACCTCCAGAAAGTTCTCGTTTATTCATGTACCGCATGTAACTTCTATCATTTATTCCTGCTTTTGTTTTCAAGAAAGTGCGTGTTCATTCTCGCCCGATCACGCGACGCTCGAGCCGCTTTCGCCGAATCTTCGAGATAGCGACGCACTCTAGATAAGAGGCCGCCCGGGACCTTGTCGAGTCAGTCTCGCCCTAGCGCTCGATTCTGCTGACACGCCGACTTCGACGTCCGCGACGCTCTGCTTTCTTCTGTTTCCTTCTTTATTTTTGGCACAAGTTCGCCACATTAAACGTTCATTTATTTCTTGTTTATTGCTCACGACTCACCACCCGTGACAATATTTCTTTCGGCGTTAAACACCGCGGATTCCACCAAACGTTTTCTTTTCGCCGCACGAGTGATTTTGCTATTGAGAAATTGCAATCAAAATAGCACCATATAAACCGGGTGGAAACACATTTGAAAAAAAAAAAAAAACATGTGGAAATCGCACGAATTTTGGGAGATATAAAAGTAGTCCCTATTTGAAAAATGAACCACGGGTTGATATCCATCGACCTGCATGTAACCTTAAATATGGCTTTAACGAAACCATATACATTGCATTTTTGTGCTATAAATACCTTGGTTTCTCAAAATTAACAAAAAACGACTTTCGCGTGTCCTGAATTTCAAGCGATTTACTGCAAATGTGTTCCACATGTGCCCAAGTCTTTTTTACCTTTGATTTTTTGAGGGGTGAACTGCTCCACATACATAAATTATTTTAGAGCGCAGCTCTTGGGCGCCCATTTCCGGGTTGAGCGGCGTGAACGTCCGCGTCGGCGTAACCGCGCGCGTTGCATTATGAAACGTTTCCCCTCCTAAATTTAGCGGGGAAATTGACGTCACGTGACCTCAACACCAATTCAGTTTCCCCGCTAAACTTAGCAGGGAAAATGACGTCACGACTTCTCGTCACGTCACTCATGAACACATTCAGCGGCAGGAGAAGAGGAGGAGGAGGATGGGGAAAGGAGTTGAGGGTACGGAGGAGGCGAAGGGGCAGCCCTCCCCCTCCGTCCGCTCCCCTCCTCTTCCTCAAAAGCTGCGCTCTAGTTTCGCATTACAGAGATCTGTAAACGCGTCTTTCATTTTTTTTTACCTTTAAAAAATAAACAATAATTGTTTAAAAATATTGTCACCGACACGGCGTCGACTGAAAACTGAAAGCTCCGAAAACTAGATGCAAACAAGGCCTACAAAGGGAGAGGATTGACGGCGGTTTATATCTACGGTGTTTGTGACAGCGTGACAGACAGGATCCATCTCTAGTGCAAGACTGGCTTCTTATATGTTCTTCTGGCTTTTTTTTTATTTTTTATTATGACATTGGCAAGTAAGGTTACTTGTATTCAGCATACACCACAGAGATTGGAACCCGAGAGGCAAACGCTCTACCAATGCTGAATATTGATAAATGAATGAACATCACGAAGTATAAAATATGTGTTCATTTTGATTCAAGGGGCTAGCCGATGCTTTTCGGCGATTGTTCTAGCTTGTGATATAAGGAAATTTTCATTCAGTTTTGTGGTGTATATATAATTTATAAAACATCGAGTGACTCTGAAGTTTTTTTTTTTTTTTTTTTTTCAATTTGGGGGGGGGGGGGGTGCCACGGGACAGCTTTAATACGAAGAAACTTAATCTCCAAGTGCCAGCTCCTGGCACCGCGTGGCACCACAAAGCGTCCAATTGGGTAGGACTGGATAATGTATATATATGTACTCCCTCATTTGCGTCAAAATTTCGTGAATCCTTCAAGAACACTTGCTACTTTTACACTGTTGAGATTGACTGCATTTACAGCTGGTAGCACGTGTTCTCAGTGCACAGCATTCAAAATGGCGCGCTCTCTCTACTGTGTAACCAACCTTTCTGGACCATTTATAAACGGCACTGGTTTTATTTCCTCGGGATTCCACAAACCAAATATCCACATTAGAGACTATGATTATTTTTGCTTGGTGTGAGCTGTTTTTCTTGAAACACGCTTGTTTTTATTTTATTAAAATTAGTTTTTATCATTCAACCGAAATACACATATAATCAACTCAAGGAAAATTTGGTTGTAGACATGAAGTTTTATTTGAGTGGTCTACTCTAGACCAAATAGTACATAATGTCGTGCCTCCCCCTGGCCACGCGTGGCCTTTCGTAGATGTGACAGGAAACTTGACGTGGAATTTCCTTTCTTTGAGTGCAGATTAAGCAGTACCTGTGATGACGCTAAGAAAACACATAATAAAAGCGTTTCATTACAGCGATTTCAGTATACCAGTTTCAGTTTCTTATTTGATAATCCGGATAGAAACGGTCGGATACTTATGTTGTAGTTTTTATTACGTGACATTGCAGCTGAAAACGCGGGCTTTATTTAACCCCTCAGGGGTAGTTTTAACGTGAAATTCACGAAAGAGCGATAATCGCAAAACTAATAGTTTTTGTTAATTTTTTATCAGAAGACTGGTAGTTTTAGTAGAGGCTAATAGTTTAGTTTATATTTTAGTACAAGACTGATAATTTAGCGAATATTTTAATATGAGACTGGTAGTTTTAGTTGATATTTTGTTAGAAGAGAGATAGTTTTAGTTCACATTTTAAGAGAACAAGCGTCACGTAAGAGGTAGCGTTTCACGAGGCACCCTCAGTGCGAACATTAGTTACCTGGTGCGGTGCCTACAAATTGCATTGCAGGTTCTTTTCGTTGGAAAGTTGTTTTCATTCCCGCCGCATCCTTGGTAGATGAATGCCCTACACACTCCGTCGACGTAGTCGTAGTACCATCTCAGACTGGCACGAGCGAGTGGGAACGCTTTCCATGACCCACCCCATTCGCGACCGGATTCAGCTGGAGGACAAGAGCTACCATAATCTTTTTCCAAGTGGCATTCAGGTATCTCACCCGCTGTGTACAAAAAAAAAAAAAAAAAAAAAAAAAAAAAGATGTGAACTCGTTATAATTTATGGCGGTACCTAAGCCCTACAAAATTTCTAGTGAGGTTAAGTGTTTCTAATATTCTGTTGCTCTTCAGAACTGTGCAAAGCATATAACTTAATAAGGTACGTTGTTGGGCTAGTTGGTTCATCTTAGTAAAACATATAAAATAGCGCAACAGGAACAAGGACAAGAAATAGCGCCTGTCCTGTTTACTTCTTGTCCTTGTTCCTGTTGCGCTATTTTATATGTTTTACCATATAACTTAAAAACAACTGAAATAAATACGGGAAAAAATGACGGCGTAAAGTAACTAAAAAAATGTTTCACTTCTGCTATTGATAAATAGCGCCGCTGATAAACAGCGCCGATTTAATTGCCATTAAAATTGAGGCTTTCTTCACGCCCAGGGCAATATCTGTTAGATAGTGAGGCGTATAGATTGTGTTCCGAGAAAGTTAGATTACTCGCTGGTTTTATGAAATGCAAAAAAAACGCCCGATTGATTCAAACACACCAACCACTTTCAGCATTTGCCTTTGTTTTGTTATCTCTATTTCCATCTGTTCCTTCCTTCCTCTCCCTCTCTCTCTCTCTCTCTCTCATTCGTTCTCTTTTTCTTGTCTTTCTTTTTTTGGTGAGAAACGCGTATGATAGTGAAGAGCATATTACATGCTTGGATGTGCTGAAAACGGTTAATGCGTATGCATGTACCCTCGCGTGCATGCTTTGCAACTGGCGAAGTACACAAAAGCCGCCGTTACGCTGTTAATACATCATACAAAAAGAGGCAGCTTGCAGACACTGACTGAGGCGTGTTTCTTTCCTCTGTTCTGTCACATTGGACATGCAAAAAATGTCTGCAGACTTGTTTGAAGCACATATCCCGAAAACCCGCTTAATTCGAACATGCGTGAGGCATGTGCGCACACACTTTTGTATGTATGTTTTCGCTGAACCTCGCGCGTTTTGTATGATGTGTGAGCAACGTGAGTGAGGTCACACCTTGTCCTCCTGTATACAAAAAAAAAAAGAACTGAGGACAAAAAATGACGAGAAAAGGGGGGAAAAAACACAACAACGCCTCATAAAGAAAACTGCTAGAGTACTTAGAAGGGAGGTTGAGGGAAAGAAAGGCTGGAGGGAAGAAAGCAGACGGAACGCTGGAAAGTAGAAGGGGAAAGTTCCTCCTCTTTCCAGCGTTCCGTCTGCTTCTTCTCCACGGCCTTCCTTTCTCTCGCCCAACCTTCTTGAGCTGCAACGGCCTATACACTCCGTGCGGGAACTATAGGGGGCGCTTTCAAAAACGCGCGCAGCGCCGCTAGCGGAGGAGCTGGCGTTCGACTGTGAGGCGCGTTCAGCAGCCTGCGGCGCCTTTTCGCATGCCAAGCTGTGGCGGCGGAAGCGCGCACGGACGAAACTTTTGCTGTTTGAGCCGATAAGTTGAGGGTGACGTTGCACGAGTGCTGGGGCAGAAGGGCATATAGCTTTTCTCCACTTCTTATATATTGAGTTTGAGTCGTTATTAGGGGTAATTTCTCTAGTTGCGGCCGAAAAAGGAGTTGGAGCAATTTTCCGAAAAACAAGACGGCCGCCACCATAATTGCTCTGAGTGGGAAATTTATTTCGCTCGTCGCTGTAAACCTAGGACTGTTGGAACGATAATATTTGGAAGCGAGTGAGATGTTCACTAAGTTTGTGCACGAAGAGTGCCAAGTTTCTTTAAGACAGCAGGTGTGAAAGTTATGTTTCTAACGAATAAAGAAATAAAGCTGTACGGGATATCCAATATTGGACCCAAAATGTTGTGTTATAGCGGGCTGTGCAAAGTGCAGATTTGGGCACACAGGTGCTTGGACTTGACAGTAACATGACACAGCACTTATTATACAAAAAAAAATGGCATAGGGAAACCACGAGAAAATTTGGTTTGGGCGGCGTAACTCAATGGAAACCGGTTTTGACCAAGAAAATGCTGTCAAGGGAATACCACTGGTTGGGGGAAGTGGAGACTTTAGAGGTAGGAAGGGACTAGTGGACTGTACTTCCAATTGAAAAAACTTTACGAAAGGTGGTTCCAAAGCCGAGAAAACAAAGTTGTCGGCCAACACACGGTTTGGCCGCCAAGGGCTTTTGCGGTCAGCTGGTGTGTAATAACTTGTTGTGCGAGGTGCTGATTTTCGGCGCACAGGTACTTTGACATGACCGTCACTTGGCACAACACTTATTATAGCAAAAAGAGTTGGCACAGCGAAACCAGGTGGGAATTTAGTTTGGGCGGCGTAACTAAATGGGAACTGGCTTTGACCGTCAAAGGCTGTCAGATAATACCACTCATCGTGGGAGGTGCACAGTTTAGAGGTAGGAAGGGGCCAGTGGACGGTACTTCCAGTTCGAACCACTTTGCGATAGGTGGCTTTAAAGCCGAGAAAAAAAAAATTGTTGTCTACAGAACTCGGGGTGTCAGCGTTTCCACATCCAAAAGGAGGCTGATCAAGAAAGAAAGCACACCACATAAACTTCCATACTCCAACGTCGATTCTCCAGTGATTCCGAGTTTCATTGTTGTTTTCTTTAGATTTATATTTGTCACTTTTTTTACCGTTCGAATCTTTCTTCATGAAGTACAGATTCCGTGCCATACTTGTCCGGAAATATCATCGACACGTACGATGGGGTCGAAACTTCTTTGGAGGGCATTCCTCCAACGAAATTGGCACTGCATACCCGCGAGTGTGGGATGGCATTTCAGTTGGTTCCATCGGCGCTGACACATGTAGGCGTTACTGGTACGAAAACAAACGCAGAGCGCAAAGCGGCAGTGTAGAATATGTCAGCCGTGCCGATACAATGGCAGACAAGATCGGGAGACCAAATTTCTCGCGTGTACGGCACGGCTCCATCGTTGTCGCCGTCCCACAAAACATCGGCGAGGTGAAAAACTGTGAAACTTTGTCTCCACGAGATACGACGCATAACTATTAAAGCACTTAATGACGCAGCACCGGCAGCACTTCATGCTGTGAACCCAGCGCAACCGTACCACTCCGACTTTAATGCGTACCAACGTACGCGGCGTGGTTTCGGTTTCGTTTTCTCTCGGGTTCTCAATGCCTACCTTCGGCACCGGCCGCGCGGCGGCGCGCCAGTCGCGTCGCACGGAGTGTATAGTGTACTTCGCCTTAGTAAATTCTTTTTTTTTTCCACGTAGTGCAGTTTTCTCGCTAACTTTGGCATAAGAAGGTAACTCGAGCGGCCGCACCAACCGCTATTGCCCTTTTAACCGTAGGCTGTTATTAACTCATGAGATAAAAGAAAACAAGAGCTTGGGGGCAGAAAGCATAATTGTGATCCGAACAAGAAATTTCCAGATCGCTCTAACATTTTTCAAACAATTTTCCCGCTAGTTACAATTACAACGGCGTTGTTGTTTTTCGTTCACAATTCACTACCGTACGTAAACATATATTAGTGTGTTCCGACATCATATTGGACTGAAAAGCGTGTCAATGGCACGATGTACAAGAAAAGAATAAAAAAGACAGGACAACGGACCACGTGTGCGCCAATTTTCTGGACGTATATGTGTACGTGCGGTTATTATGACTCTTGCTGTCTCTTTTCAAACCACATTTCAAGATTCTTGGAAGAACTTCTTACCGTATGGGCACTCTCTAAGACAATCCTCACGTGTCGCGAAACGGTTTGTTGAATTACCGCAGCGTTTTCCATAAAAACAATCTTTCCTGATAGGGTCGAAATACCATACTAACTCTGGGTTGCACCGTCTTTGATTCCATGCACTTTCTTCAGCGTAACACACAGAATCTGCAAAAGAAAAAACAATTATATATATATATATATATATATATATATATATAAGAACCTGTATTTTGGTTCATTGAAGGTCCCAGAAGGCATAAAACATGAAACATAAAACGCTTCCTACAGGCAAAAACTGTCCAGACGCGCAGGTCTAAATTTACTCTAAATATGTTTTAAACTCGCCAGTGTCATGTTAAACAGACCTAGGTCTTATGTACGTCGCATGTCTGCATTAACAATAATAAATAACCATAAATACTTTTTATTGTCTGATCAGAACGTATTGGTCCGCTGCCGTTATCCAATTATCTTTTATACGGTATCCACCGGTTCATCCGAACAACAAAGTATATATATATATATATATATATATATATATATATATATATATATATATATATATATATATATATACATACTTTGTTGTTCGGATGAACCGTCACTCAACTCGGACCGTCACTCAACTCAAAGTTATAAATAATGAATGTTACATCAATCAAATTAAAGTAATTCACTTTAATTAGAGGCCTAGAAATTCGTATGATGTCTTTCTCTAATTAAAGTATATTTAACAGTGTTACCGGAAATCGGTATTAATGTATAAGGTTTTTAAATCATTGTTTTAAATTTATGCCATTTTTGTAGACAAACGACACTGAATCTCTGAATTGGATATAAAAAGTAATCTTGTTAATTAAAATATTAAAATATTTGCCATATTAAATAGCGAAGAGCGGAATATATACAATGTATTTCACCCAATATCGACAATAATTTGCATGTGAAAACTACACACCGCACAGAAATAAAATTGGTATCGCAACAGTCGCTCTCAAGAAGCGTTGTACAAAGGAACCTATAGTTTTAATCAGAAACTTGCTGGACGTTATAAAAAAACAACTAAATCGATCAATTTTAGAAAGCCCTGGTGTGCGCTTGTTTTGTTTCTTTAGGGTCCCGAAAATGTAGTCAACTTTGACGCACCCACGTGATGCTTTTGCTGTTTAGCATCTGCAGTTTTACTCCGCTATCTTGCAACTGTAACACAAACGTTCATACACCAATGTATTTTGTTTTGTTTTTTAGTTAACGGTTTAATGGTTTTCTCACGGCGCTGAGTAAGTGTCTGTTTCAGAACATTCGATTATTTTCACTAAAAAAACGCAAAATTATTCAAAACTCATTCAAACGATTACTTCGACAAAACGCTAAAAACAGTCACGGACGTTATAAAAAAAAAAAAAGAAGAAAAGAAAAAGTTTAAGCGAGCGCGTAGTTCCTATGGCCTCCAGCGCAATATAACGAGAAAAACTGAGTTATCATCGAAACTATTGAATGAGCAGCGGCATTTCAGTAGCTGGTCGATTTTTGTCGTCACTCCCCACTTGGTCGGCAAACAATTGCTGCGTCAATACCGATGATAGTAGTGTAACGATAATAATGCCCGGAGAAGGGGAACAAGAGGGACAAAAGACAAACAGAAATCTAAAAAAAAATTGTGTAACTGGTGCGCACAAAAAACAAATACGCCTGATTTTTTTTTTATTGAATTAGGAACATGTCCCATTCCCAGTGCTCGATTAAATAAAACAAAAACCGTTTCTCCTCATTTATCCCGCGAAGTTTAAGCGCACGAAAACTGATCGCTCCACCTGGCGACCCGGTGGACTCAGCCTAGCTTAACTTGGCCTTTTTTTTTTTTTTTTTTTCTCGCGGAACACTTTCATATTCGGCGAAATCAGTTTTTAACTGAGCGACAGAGTCAAGCGGGGAGTGGCGTCAAAAATTCAACAGCCGCTGAAACCTCAACAATAGATTAGTTTTTTTTTTTTTTTTTTTTTTTTTTTTTTTTATATATAGGTAGCGCGGTAGGCCTTTTAAGCCACGCGCTCGCCTAGGCTTTTTTTTAATATCGTCCGCGACTGTGCGTCACTAAGTGGGCCCATCGGAAGCCACTAATGTTATAAGCGTTGCCCAAAAAAAGTAACGAAACATGTGACTTGTTACACGCTCTTTGCAGAGAAAGAGGATGAATACATCAAGAACGACAACGAAGAATCGCGGAAACACGCGCGATGGCGGCAGCGGTACCGTCTTCGCATCGGCGACCCCGTCAACCGCACCGCGTTCCGAGGCGTCGCCCGATCACGTGCTCTGGCGACGAGAGGAGGTATGGGGTGGAAGAGGAGACGCCAGGTAAACCACTCCACCAGGGCAGGATTTGGCGTGGCCGTCGTTTTGTCTAAAGCAAATGAGAGCATTCTGTATTGCCCCTAGTATTTGCCTGGGTTCTGCAGCGTGAGCTTACGCTCCACGTGGTCCTAGCTGCGGCTCGTTAAAACACTCGGGTAACGATTTCCCACTCGTCCTTAGGTCTATAGTTAAATATGAAAAATAATAATCATAGCTATTTCCGTATTCAGTCATTTATTATTTAATAATTAACGTAACTTTATTTGTTTTGTTTTGTTTTCACGGCATGCCCACGAATGCAAATTGGCTGAGCAACAGTTGTGTGAATGCTTTCCTATATGTTTCCCCCCGATAAACATAAAAAGTCATGTTTTCTTAACGTGGGTACCCTGAGACTACTGTCTTTTCTGGCGAATTTGCTTTGGGGGTATGCATTATATCCCCACACTTAAACTGGAGTCATTCGGGTTTTCTTCTTGTTACTCGGACCTTTCGAACATAGCAAATCAGAAGGTTGCAAAATACCAGCAGTGAAGCGGCAGCTGTGATTTCTGTAAGAACTTACATTTTGCGCACGATGCCTGGCAGTGTCGTTGCGAGGGAAAGGTGTTTCTTGAAAGCTCGTCGGTTTCGACGCATTTTCGGAGCTTTTTATCAAAATACCACAGAGAAGAATTTTTCTGGTTATCCAAATTCGGTTCCGTTTTCTTCTCTGGATCAACGCACGCATCTACAGGTTCCTGTGGTTTCTCTAGAAGACAGTATTTATCTGATAAAATAGAAAGGCAACCATGTTAGAAACAATATATGATATGTCTCACGGCTGCTTTGCGCCACTGCACTTCACAACTTACTAAACAAATCCTCCCAACACTTTTTTTATAGCCCGTTAAATTTTTAGCTCTTGATTGATCAAGTAACACTATGATCACCGACAACTTAAGAAAGGTGTGATAGTGTTCTGGCTCCTCGCGATTGGTTCTTCGGCGCTCTTCTGGGCTAATGCAGCTCTCTCATTGGCTGCGGAGATGATCATGAGATACTCAGGACATGTCACGCCCTGTGTTTCCTGAGCTCTCGGGAACATATGAAAATATATATATATATATATATATCGTGTAAATAGAACTAATTATCACATACGTGTTTATTAGTTACCCGATCGAAGTTAAACATTTCACCGTTGTTAAGGTGCCTGCGTGACGCCGGCGCACATCGTGAGACGGAAACTGCTTGATCGAGCCGAACGACATTAGGCCATAAGAACGCCGAAGAACGAATGAAAAAAGCATGAACGTAACAAGTCCAGCCCTAAGCTTATTAGGTTGTCAGACGGTATACGACGTGCAACTTCGTCTGCTCCAAGCGCACCTCGTGCATTTGTTTACCCACCAAATGTGCCCACGTGCTTTCTGTTTTCTCCCCAACCTCAACCAATGACAGCAGGCGCTTGGCTGCCTCGTCGTCGCACCAGTCCCTGGGCGTTCTCTATGTTACTCTTGAACTGGCCCGCTCTTCCTAGGGTTTCTATGCGCCAAAGGCGCATCTCGGAACACTCGATCGCCGTAGACCCTTCTTACACAAACAGGGGAGAGAGCCATACATGTACGACCTTGTACGTGTCTGCCTCTCTCTCCTGTTTGTGTTTAGCTCTCTTCGCAGTAAGTATTAACCCAACAAACGTCGTCAAACGCATCATACCTTTCTTAGCGCCATTTTTTTACTCCATTGGTGTGCACTGCAGAACAGATTGTCAAGTTTAAGCGGCGTTTAATTTCTTTTCTATTTTTTTCTGACGCGGCACGCACTACTTCGGTTTCTACACTGGTCAATTATTTTGTTAACTTAGTAATACAACTAAGAGTGATAATAAATCAGTTGATGTCTTATCAGGGTGCCAAGCCTAAACTTTGTTGTTTTGATACAGATATACGCGGTAAATAGAGAAATTCAAAATGAATCAGGGCGCCTATATACTTGAACTTTTTTACATATTAGAAGTTAAGGAAGTATATCCAAAGGTTATTGCTTGAACTTCAAGTCAATAATAAAATCTGAAGAAAAATAGTGTAGCTAAATTTTACACTACTATGCATTCTTTTCTGCTATATTTCATGCGCGCTGAGGCTCTAAGAACATGTCCAGCGAAATGATCACTTCCCGTTGAACACATCCTCAAAGGAACTTGGTTTATCTCAAGAATTAAGGTACTTAGTCCAACAAAACGCGGTGTAAATGGAAAAGATTTTATATTTACCCGGAGTGCAGACGCTCTCGCACTCTGTACTATTTTCGAAGTAATTAGTACTGTAGTTACAACCGATAATGGATCTGCAAACTTTTTCTTCCAAGTCAAAGTACCATGCCTCACTTGCACCTTCACTGCAAGTTGCGACATTAGGCAAACGATCTTCGCAGGGAGTGTCCGGAACTCCTGGATCTCCTAAGAAGTAAGAATGTTGATGTGAAACAATTACAACACTTAAATTGAGCTTCTCTAAAATGTCACCGTACTTAACCGAATTGTATTTGTGACGTTAATTATGCAATGTATTTACCTGTAAAAACAGGTGCAAATATTGGGTATTCGTAGTATGTGAATGCGTCAAAATGGCAAAATATAAACGATACAAATAACATAATGTCGACGTTTTATTAGGCGCAGACATTCTCTAATATATATTCAAATTTTCGCTAGATTTTTATTACAAGTACTAATTCGGTGTCATACAAGATCTGTAATGGGCATTTTCCGCAAATGTTCGGCGCCACCTATCGACAATTCGGGAAGCGTTTTGATGGCCTTCTGAACAAATGTAACATGCCATTACGCCTGAGTTGGTTGCAAATAAAGACTGAACATAATTGTGGCGTGTTGCGATTAAATCCTTGAGCTTACTCCTGCTTAAACGGTTATACTGCCAATACCTAGAGCCCCTCTATAGGGGGTATTCACTGGACGCCATATTTGAGGTAACTGTTCACAGCGCATGCCCGGGAAGAGTTTCCCGTCAGTTCACGGGCAACCGCAAGAGAAGAGGGGAAGGAGAAATTCTCTTACCACCGGGACTCTCCTTTGTAGGTCCCAGGCTTCCCCAAACGTCGCTATTCTCCCTCTAGAAGATTATAGAAGATTAACCTGCCACTCAAAATTCGTACAAAAGCGTCTTTTCCCTCTCTCTCTCTCTCTTCCCCGGTGGTAAGAAAGCAGCAGCGAGCTCAGCTATGACCGCCAGTGAATAAGCGCCACTGATTAATCGCCCGACACACTCTCACACTCCAGAAAAATTCTCCTCCTCCTCCTCTCCTAAGCTTTTTTCTTTTTTGCCACTATTACTGATTTGTCGGCTGTCCGTCCAATTTCGGTTCCCCACTTCCGTCCGTCATTTGTGCCCTCCCGTGTCGCGGCCTTGCATTCTCCGACGGCGTGCATGCAAATACATACTACGCTGAGGTTGCCCATCGAAGTTGTTTTTGTTTTTGTTTTTTTTATCCGTAGAGCGTATGCCGCGTGTTTTGCTTTTTGGAAACGACATTGAACTGCCACCATGACGAGGCGTTACTAAATCACTTGCGCGTATTAAAAAAAAAAAAAGCTGGTTCACGTTTTTCACCTCGCCGTCACTTCGGTGTGTAAAGGCAGAAACAAAAAGGCACAAGCAGTGGCGACAACGAAACTGCGGTGTAGCTTGCTCCGTTCGCAGCGTAAAGGCTCGTTCCCACAGTTGCGTCGAATACGTAGCGTTGCGTTGCGTCGTTCAGCAGAGCGCCTCCCCACTGGCCCGTCGTAAGGGTCGCCATAGCAACAGCTCGATGCAAGCGGTCTTAACGCAGTCAAACGCAACTGTGTGAACGAGCCTTAAAGGACCGGTGCAACGATATTCAACTGGAATGTTTTTCACTTTACACGAGCTTACTAGCACTAGTGGGACTCAAGGATACTCGCACGCAACGCCACTGACCAAGGAACTCCTTCGTTGCGGTGTAACTTCAAGGACAAAAGCGATCATTTTCATTCAATCTCTTCTCTGCAAAATTTGATGACGTAACGTGGGGATCGCAGTACGCCCCAATCACGATATTTGAATTCGGTTCATAGATTCGACCCGAGCATTGCGTGGCAATCGATTTGGGCTCGTGATGTTCGATAGCTCGAGAAGAATTCGGGCAGTGGCCCGTGTCCAATCGCTGCAACGACGACAATAGCCGAGCCATAACAATGTCTGGAACTCAGAGCGTGTCCCGTGCTTTGCCACCCCCAGCGCGTAGCTATGATCAACATTGGCGGCATATAATCGGCTTCAGAACACGTGGCCGCTTGTTCTGGCTGCGAGTTGAGGGCCTGAACGCTGCTCAGTTTTCTTTAATTTTTTTTCTGGGACTTCCATTGCGTGGGGGGGGGGGGGGGGGGGGGGGGGGGGGAACGAACGCGTGTTTCATAGGTTAACGTCGGGGATCCGTTCTAAGCGGTATTTGCGGAAAATGCAAAAATTGTTTTATCGCCCCTTTAAGATCACGGCTTTGCATTCCATAACAGAAACGTGTGCTATTTCGCGGGGTTATCACCCTGGCTCCCCTGTCTCCTGAAGAGGAAATGAGGACAATCTGTCTCACCGGTCAATTTTATTATATGAACGTTTATGAAGCGAAAGATGCCATCTGATCTCGAACCGAGTGATCCGAGCAGATGCGCGGCCGAAGCCTCGACAAAGCTCGCATGCCTGCTCCAGACGTCAAGCAATGCAAAAACTAAGGAGCCTAGATGTCGGGGTACGTCGGCCACTCATACCTTTGAGAGATCATGCAGAAAACACCGATCTAGCGAGGGTTTGCCAGCAGTCACTTGTCGCAGCGTTCGACGGAAGGGCAGCCTGAGGCGCGTCGGAATGAAATAGGGAGAGATCCGCGTACAGGAGGAAAGAGCGAGAGATTTTCGAGGAACTCGAGGGAAAAAAAAAAAGCGCTACTTTCGGTATCGAGGGGCTTTACCGATACCGTCCCGTAGGCGCCACCAAATATGGCGGACAGACACGTCTGCTACAACTGCGCACACGCGCAGGCGCCACGGAAAAAGCCCCATTGCAGGTCCCTTCGTGCTAGTATTTCTGTAAGAATGAATTTATTGTTGCACTCTTCACAACTAACGGTAGCTGACGAAACTTAACCTATAATATCGTACTTTTAGTACAGTGCGTTTAGCTGTTGCGCTTCTGAATTTACAATTTACGCCGTTGATCAGCAGTAAACGTTTGTTCTTTTTTTTTTTTGTTCTTTTTTCCTGAGGGTGGCGAAAATTTCTGAGATGATACAACATGTTTCCACTTATTTTGTTATTTTTATTGCTGACACAAGATTTGCATCAAGCAGGAACCTACTGCTACCACTTTTTTCTTTTCTTAAAAAAATATGCCTTAATATCTTGATTAAGACCATACGCAATATGCATTTTAGACATACTCTATATACTATGTTAAGACAGCCACATTGGCGTTGCGAACATCCCAGACTTCTAGTGACAAATGCGCGGTTTCGCGCGTGCAGAATGTCGCCCGTTTGACGTAATTACGGCACTCCGTACTCGCAAATATCGTGCATTAAGATCCTCGCCAACATATGTAAACGCCAATGCACAAACGTCAAATTGACGACCAGGCGCCAGTCATATGAAGCACTTTCTTCAAATCACTGAACATGGCTGCCAAAGAAGAAAGCATGCATTTCCTTGAACGTTAAACGCCAGACAACATTAATTGTTGATAAAAAGAGCTTTTCGTGTTACTTACAATTGCTTGAAATCATCTTCTCACATTTTGCTATTTTATGTTCACATTATGTTCGCTTGAATTCGTCGTTTGCTTTTCAAAATTCCCCACACGAAGCTTTTAACCCGTAAATAACCGATTCCTTGTTTTTTTTTTTTTTTTTTTTTTTGCAGCAAACCAGATTTGGATTAAATACACGTTTGAATTTTTTGTTTTGTTTTGTTTTTCTTTACCAACAAATTGCAAACATTGTAGATTTTTTAATAAACAACTCTGAGTACTGCTTAGCAATTTGTTGTATTCAAAGGCTAATTGGCTTTGTTTTGCTTGTGTACAGCCCAAATCTCTAGATCTGAATAAATATACAAAAAATTATCAGGGCAAGATACGTCTAGGAAATTTAGCCAATGATGGAGAATGGGCGTACAAGACTGGATGAAATGAAGGAAGTCGCATTCTTTAATAGAGAAAAAAAAATTAGAATGAAGCACATCTCCATCTTTCTCGACCCAGCAAAAAGAATCGCGGCGGCATATCACTATACGTCATTTATTTGCATACCTCCACTTCATATTTATGCTATATCTCAAACCTATAAGCCAGTTCTAGATCTCCCTCTAGCGACTCCACTACAGTATACTGGCGTTTCATAAAAGGCTCACCTCTAGCTTGCACGGCGGCGACGATGACCAAAACAAAAAGTCGACACCACCAAATCTCCATCCTGGTTTCTTGCAAACAAATTAAAATTGTTCCTCAGCCCTTAAATATTTCCAGCAGAGGGAGGAACGACCTGAGTGGTCTGCTACAGAAGATCCGTTTCCGTGTTGGGAAATGTCGCAACTTGCCTCACACCTGTATTTATTTACTTTTATTGATTTATTTTTTATGTTTTTTACGCTGGAGCGGAGTTTCTTTGTGGTTCCGTCGCAGCTTCTGTCCGATCCTAATGTCATTGTTTATGCTCTGTTCATCCATAACCTGACAGTTCGGTGGAACGTGAAAGCTGCTTGCTCGCACAGGGATGACGCTCTCGCAATTACCCACGCACAGAGAGAGGGGTCCGGTGTACGAATAGGAGGCGGCTGGTTGGTCCGGCTCGCGCTAGCGTCCACCGCACTGTCAGTGGGTGAAGGGACCTAGTGCACTCATATTTAATTTTTTTTTTAATTTTATTTACGCACGTCCGAGTGTGTATTTTTTTTTTTTTTTTCCATTCAAAGTGGTCGTATACGTATACGGACCATGCAGCTAAGCTCTTAAGCCATACGGTTTATCAGGAAGTCGTAGCTCCCAATTTTTCTTGTACGGCCAAAGGTCGCTGAAAATAGCCGCAATCATTTCCGGGGTGGGTGCGGGATATCGACCTCGCTGCCGGAGCTACAGGAGCATGTCTCCTAGCGTCTGCGCAGCTGAGCCTCGGAGTTGCTTCACGCCACGACGTACACCGTGCGCCACAGTTAGCGCAGACGCGATATCGGCGGTTTTCCCTGAACATTTAGATCGAAATAATATTGGTGGTCACAAGCCTTCACCGCTTACGTTTGTGCCATAACTTGTGAACACTTTCCGTCACACTAGAGCAGTTTGATGTCAGCGTTTCTGTTCTAGCAAAGAAAAGAAAAAAAGTCGATCGCATGCTTGCATTAGCAGTGTCGTGCTGTGTACCTGTGCCGTTGCTTTTCATGCACCCTATACTCAGATTTTACGGCGCTCCGTGGTGGCCGCCATATTAAAACTTTATATCAGTGTTGCTGCATCTCTGGGTTACCTTTAAGTTAGAACTGACAGAAAAAATCTGGTCACGGCGCAACGCCGATGTACGCTGGAAGCTAGAGCCGGTTTTGCTTTCGTTGTTTTTGTTTGGTCGGAGAAAATCTGGCAACAACGCCGGTAGTGTTTTGGTTTGACGGGACACGAGACGCTCCGCGGTTTGCGATCACATGTAGCGAAGACGTGACCGGAGAAGTGCCCCTGTGATGTTCCCGGAAGACGGAAAGTATCATCCGTAATCGTCGTGTGTGCTCTGAAAGCGAAGGGAGTCACAGGGTCTACGAGTGCGCAACCACAAGCCAAGGTTCACGACAGCGCTGCGTTGACTTCGGGGATCTCGTTCTGTTTGGTGCAACACGGCGATGCGACAAAGACCTGAAACGTTCGTGGTGTGTGGTGCGGTGCTTGGAGGTAGAAACCCGCACTGACACGGAGCTCATATTGGTTGTTGTGGGGTTGCGTTGGACGGGTTCAGCCCCGTCGTCGTCAGCTGATCCGGTCCAGCTGGTCCGGGAGGACGCAGCGAGCGTTTTTAGAAGTAAATCTTCCTTCGTTCCGTTTGAAAATATGGAAGATTCGCGACGCATACCGTGAGTAAAAAGCTGCGGGCGTTTTCAACAAAATTACGTCTTTTTAGTTGAACAATGGACTCCGCATTTTTGTCCTAATCGGGCGTTTTTATGCTTCGTGCTGAACTGCGTTTGCACAGCGACGTTTTTGCACAGCGACGCACACTGCTCGACTAGATGATTCGGTCATGCAAACGACCGGTTATACAGAATATCAGGGAAACTTAAGTCACCACCAATATTTTCCTGTAAACATCGTGTGAGTTTGTTGTGCTCATCATGCAGTGGGAATAAATTAGGGCAAGATTTCCTCCCTGCCCATAGTGCTTTTTTTAGCATAGTGCTTTTTAGCATAGTGCTTTTTTAGCATAGTGCAAACATAGTGCTTTTTTTTATTTGGGGAAGAGGCGTTGGTACATTTATTGGTACAATTACTTGAGAGTTGAGATATTGGGGAGAGCGAGCAAGCTATCCATACTTTGTCTCTTTTCTCTCTAGCACTGCCCCTAGTTTCAAGTTTCAGTTAAAGTAGGTAAAAGACTTGGAAGTCAGGACGGTGCGGACTTCGTGTTTCCCGCTTTTCGCTAGGTGATTGGGTAAGTGCTTTTGCGAGGTACGCGGAATATGCAAACGATTCTGTTATGCCGGTCGTTCACGTCTCTCCAGCAAAACGAATAAGATGATTACAAAGGCGCAATCACAAGCAAAGATTTTACGATAACAGTGCGTTTGCTTCGATGGTCCGTGTTTTTATATTTTACCCCGCTCTCTGCAACACTGTGTCATGACGAAGAGCTGGAACAGTCACGGACTCAGGGTTTGTGATGGCCTACCGGTTGACAGAAACTCGCATCGCCCGCATCGGCGCCGAGTGCACTTGGGCTGTTGATGCTCAAGCCTTTCATCCGCGGCTTGTCGCCAGCTGATTCTGCTGCTCGACGGTGAGGAAGCGGCGAGAGTGACCTCTGAAGTAAATGTAAATCCTCGTTCATCCAGTTATCCGGTGTCAAAGTGTGGAACACGTCCAAAGTGTACTGAGGGCGGGAACTACGAGCGTTTTGCCTTGCTTTTGTAACGGAACCCAGAGAAACCAGAGCCTTTTAGAGTACCTTGCGTACTCCAAAATGACGGAAGCAATAAGTTTCAAGAGGTCGAGTACGTCCCCGGGGATGTAGGCTAGACCGTGCACACTGTTTAAACGCTTGCACTCTCCGCGAGTGGTACCAGGAAAGCGACGTCAACAGAGGTGGAGCTCTCGATCCAGCATAATGCAGTGCCACGGACCCGTGAAGCTTCAAAGTTCGGGGTGGTGGCGGTATAAGAAAAAACGCATCAGCCGGATGTCCTTCGCAAGAATATATAAAAAAAAATGCTTTGTGCAAGGATCATTTCCATTTATTATTGAATACATAATGACAAAATTGCTATAATTTGTTTTTCTATCTGATTCAAGCTAGTCGGACTGCTCATAACACTGGCCAAGCAAGAAAATAACAAAAATTTGCACTTTTTCATGACAGGTTTAATGTTTATTGTTAATACATTGTTATTTGTCGCAACAGACTAACATTATAGGTTTGGCCTTTATACTTTTTTTTTAAATTCAAACAGTTTTTACACACGGCTGTCTATCGCGCCGTGTTTTGTGTCTTCTATAAATCTGTAACGGTCAGCGACCAAAGAGCTGACCCGCACATGTCAAGCTTATGTGCACCTCGGGGAGAAATTAATGTCGAGTAGGAAGTGTCGGGCGCAGTGTCGGTTGTAGTGTTTCTGTATACGTCTTCGTCGGTGCTTTGTAACATAGGATGCTCATGTTGTCTGCGATGTATATAGGGTTGCTGACTACTCGTGATCGTTTGCAGCGTACAAACAGGCGCGGTAATTTTTTTTTTTTTTTCATAGGCTGCCAGAAATTTTATTAGGGGGCGCAAGTTACCGCCCGATTCTAAATAGTTTACTTGAGTTATTTATTCATGTAAGTTCGGCATTCGTTTGTCTGTCTAGCAGTTGCGTTGTAGCTGTCCAACGTCGCTACGCCTAGGTGGCACGAGTCGTCGCCCGATTCTAACGTTTCGCTTCCTCGAGTCACTTATCTATTCTAAAAAGTTCGGCATCTGTTAATCTGGGAAACAGTCCCGTCATAGCTACCGACGCCGCCGACCCACGTATACGTACCTTTGCACGTAGCTACGTCTGCCCCTTGGAGACTGTTTACTGTGTATAAAAAAGTCATCGAACGAGAACAAGCGCGTCCTGTGTGCTCTCACTTCGGCAAAAAGGCGCGCGACTTCCTGGGCTCGTCTCTCGCGCGCCAGTTCTCGGCTGCTGGCCGCCATGTTTTATGAGCAGCACGTTCAGCCGTGTTTCGCGGAAAGCAAACACGGTGTTTCGTGTTAAGTTTACACGTCGCCTCGTGTGTGGACGAATAACATAGATGGCTGTGTGTAAAACGAACACGTTTTGACGTGTCCGCTACGGGACAATGGTTTACACGTCTGGGTGTGTTATGTAGATACGCGATACCTGATTGACACTGCCATTTCCGAACGTCCCATCAGTATCGAGCCCGAAAAGTTACCTCAGAAAATAATGCCATGGTGATTCCGCACGTGCGAGATATTTATACGCTCGATTAGCTTTCATAAGCCACGACAACTTCAAAGCCGCGCGGGCACATTTCGAAAAAAAAAAAAAACTGCGATCGGAATGTCAATTTTCGACGCCTGCTCGGCCGTCCTCGCGATTGATTTTTGCTTGCACTGTCCGTTTCCAACTAACTGTTTAAAAAAAATAGCTTGTTTTGAAAATTAGGCCGTCCCAGAAACTACCTTTTTGGTCTTTTGAGAAGCCTACAAAGACACTACCACGAACGACTCAGTTATGGTCAGTGCGATAACGCGAGGCTGGGTCACTAGGTCTTGTTCCGTAGGCCGATTGTTGTTGCGCTGCTTGAGTTTAATCTTGACCAGAAGTGCAACGAAAAGATTAGGTCCGATGCAACCCTAAATTCTCGTTCAAACCTGGACGGCGCCATTTTTTGTTTGTCCCTTGTCTCCCTTGTTCGTCTTCTCTAGGGAATAGTATCGCCTTTTTTTTTACGATCGTGGCGCCGTCTATCTTTATTCGAAGGGAATGACTGACCGCCATTACAGGACAGTTACCCCGACCGAGTGTGCACTGCGTAGCATTGGTGTTGGCAATCGACTTGCTCGTTCGAGTTGTGCCCTGTCCTAAATACACTGCACTTCGTTAGATGCATTCATTTTCTTAGCGAAACTTCAACGTCGGGTGCAGCTTTCTTTCTCTGAGAACGCCAAATGTGAGCTGCTCCTGCCGGCACTGCTGGGGCAGCCGTCGCCGTCGGCTCATAGACCGCCGACATGGCGGGA